TACCTTGAATATGGCAACCCCTTTAGCGTCTTGGTAATGTATGTATTGATCTATAGTGATACAATGTATACGAATAAGCGCCTCTCCTCTAGTTGAGATACCTTAAAGAAAATAGCTATATCTCCTCAACTGAACGGAATCTCTCGGCAAAATATTTCTTTTCTGAATGCCTGATTCCGCTGGATGAAATGATGCAAAGAAATTCATATGTTACTGGGCAAAGCTGAGAGTTCGGTAGGCTCCAAGATAGCAACCCCTATAAAAATGCGAAAATAGCCATATATCCTGATGTAATCATTACTGTTCGTTACAATACATGTTATTCTGAGACCAGAGGTTCTGAGGAATCGAATGTTGTGAAGAATTTGATATGTTACTGGGCAAACCTCAGAATACTGGTAGCTTGAATATATGAACTCTTGTGGTGCTATAGCGCCATTGCACTGGTTGAGATAACTATATATCTCCTCATATGGGCAGAATTGCTTGATAAAATTTATGTGCAGTAGCTCCGGGGTTAAATGGCTACGGTAACTAACCGCGCCCACAGTTAATGCAACCAACAGCAGTACTACCCCCAGGTTAAATGACTACGGTAACTAGCCGTGTATGTATTGCTATCCAGCACGGATTCATTTCAGCTGGTATCAGTATGCATGTGACTTCTAGTGCACACTACGTCCATACTCTTCAGCTTCGAGTACAAATTTGCAATTCTTGATTGTATTCTATTTTGCACCTGAGGTAAATTGATTATATCCGCAATATGAATCCAAACTCTAGCCAGTTGTTGTTTAGTGTTTATCATTGATTTATTTCTCGTTTCACGAGTGTGTTTATTTACTCAAACTGACATGAGTTAATTTCAGTTCAAATACTTCTTATTGTTACAGAAAACAGTTGTACGTACATATGCGAAGGTAGCTGTGGCAGAATGACTTCATGCGTGTGATAGCTGAGGCGTGTTCTGTTTCTGTGTGTGTTTGACCACACCCCCTTTTCCCTTGCCATCTATTGCAGAGTTACCCTACTTTCGGTTGGGTAATTACTTTTATTGGATGTGAGGTATGTAAAAAAATTCTCTTGTGCTTTTGTTGAGTGCCTCATCCACTTCAGATGATCAGATGTTTCCGGGTGATTAGACGTGTTTTGCTTAGTCACTTCATGTTATGATTTGTGCCCTGGTGTGTAAAATATCAAAACGTTGACTACTGCGATTGATATCAGTTTTTTTAAGATGGATTTTTACGGGTCTTCTCCATCAGCACTGAGTCTCACTTGTAATGAACTGCGTGATAAAATTGTGAATGGAGCATGGCCGGGTGATTCAATCGATTTTGCGTTGATTATTGTTGAAAGACTATTTAACAATCCTCAGATTGATTTGCTCTCTGTATTACCAAGTTCGAGTTATGATCTCAGTGGAATTGAATATGATCAAATAATTGATTTGATCGGTACCTCTTCATCTGCTTTCAAGGTTATTTTTAATTGGTTTCGTTGTTTTCGTTCTAATTTTCTTTGGTTTTTCTCTTGTAAATTGAGCATAATCTGTGCAATATATATTTTGCTGGTGCTGCTTTTGTTTTCTTAAATATTTCATCCAGTGTTGTCTGCAATTCAGGCATTAATAGAATCTGATGGCGATCAGAATTTTGATTTCTTCATTGGTTCGTTTTGTGCACATTTGGAACGTTCAACATGTGATTTGCCTGTTCATCTCGTTGAAAACAGTGTTTACATGTATTTATTAGCCGATTATGTTTGCTTCATGATGCCAATTGAAACAACAGCAGGTTCGCGTGCGGACGTGTCGACGAAAAATTTAAAGTCCAGTAACATTTCCATCTCTTCTCCATTGAGATTATTCGAAGAGGTTTTTTTTATTCTTAATTGTCACTCCGTCAGCCAGATACAAAATGTGGTCCGATCGTGCATTCTAATTATGAATGCACGTAGCGCATTTGTGAATGTTTCATGCGCATATAATAATATAGCTTTCATTGTTCCGTTCCACCAGTTTCAGCATATCAACATGAACGTATTTATTGCATTTCAGTGTGCTATCAGCAATTTTGAGCAAGAATATCTTCTGTTTTAACTGAACGTTTTCAAATGAACCACGTTAAAATATTTGTGTTGCTCTTTGGGCCGGAAAAACTGGATATCTTTTGTGATGTGCATCTTCGGAAATTTCATATTCCAATGTGCATTCCTTCCAATTGGAAACAGTCAATTGGTTATTGATTACAGGACGCGTTGCAACGCTATTCATTATCACCAGCAAGAAATTCGTTAAAAACACTGCATTCATTCTCACAGTCGTTATCGCCTCACTTTGTCTCATTCATATGTACCGTCATCAAATCTTTATGCTCATTATCTTCATGGCCTTCCGAATATCGTCTGAGTGCTTTAAGGTGTGATTTACTGATTCATTCGGAAATATCATATCTTTTATTTTATTCATGATTTCATCGATATGTTAATTTTTTGGCTAAATGAGGTTGCTTTTAATTGGTCAGCTTTTGATTGATTTTTAAATGGGTGATAATCAGTGAACCTATTTGAAACCTTGAAAATTATCCTTAATGAATATCTTTTAAGATATGTGCTGAAACAATATCATGTTTTTGTATTGGCATTAACTGACGATGGTATATTGCTGCAAGTGAAATCACAACTGTTGCACAATCCTCCTTTTGTGGACCAACTGTATGATTTTCTTGATTCAATGCTCGCGAAATGGCCTGACAATGTCAAATTTATTGCAGTATTCGGTACACCACTCTTTTATCAAAAATTTTTTCTAACTTCGACTCTCATTTCAAAACTTCACCTTGCTTTCAATTCATTTACTCCTGCTTCCTGAAGTTACCAATAATTCACTTTAACCTAACCTCTGATTTGCGAAGTCCTTTCACTTTTGTTTGTTTAAGTGAAAGTGAATGTTCTCGAACTAAACTATGATTAGAAAGTTATCCGCATTGATTCATTAGAAATTATTTTACGTCGAGTTCAACTTATTTTTAAGAAGTGCTGCTAATTGACGATAATTTTGAGGGTGTTTGCCTAATTAATAAATTCGTGAGAGTTATGAAGAAGTGGTTGTTCAGAAGTTTGGATGACTTGGATCCGTCCGTGGCGTTACTCACAAGAAGGTGATGACGACTGTAGTTCGCAACGTATACAACTTTTCATTGAATCGAATCGCCGTTTCTATGTTCAGCTCACCGATGCATTCTTTCGACGCGTCGTCTATCTTGACAATCCAAGTTCTGTTTTAACACTTCGCAATTATCTGCTTGTTATCCTCTCGGAACAGCTGCAAAAGGTTCATTTTATTTTATCTTGTTTTGTTCTCTTATGTTTAATTACCCTTCACAGATCATCACTCGACTTGTGTTTGTCACTTCTGCTAATACGAGTTTTGTTTTTGTGATTGCATTCATTTTTATGACGTTGCAAATACAACTTGAAAATGATGATCGCAAACGATGAAGTAATATGAGATTGTTTGATGAAATTATAGACTTACAAATGGTTGAGATACGATTTGGAAACACCAATCGTGAAATTGGGTGCTGTAGTGGCGAAATGGGCGGATTATATCCGCAGATTGGTCGCAGAAGAACGTGAGTGTGTTGAAAATGAAAGCTGGTTGGGTCACTTCGTTAGTTCATCTGGTATTGTTTTCACAGTTACAATCTCATTTTCAATTTGTTTACCTCAGTTTTGAAAATTTTATTTATTTGTAAACATTGCTCGGAATGACTGGTGATAATAGCTTTTTTTCGATTAGAATATTTTTAACTTTGTTAGAAACATCACGTATGAAAGATAATACATGGAAATTCAGGAAATGAAAATCGTTATCAGAAGTTGAGTGTAACGTTGAATGAGCTGGATGAATTGACGAACTCAATAGCAGATGCAGCCTCGACAACTGTTTCGGCGTTGTTGAACGAAAAAGCTTGTGTACCACCGTATATTACATCTGAATCGCCTCGTCTATCTTCATCGCCCTGGAATAAGCCCCTTCCTGACCACTATGTTAATCCCTCTACGAAACTCATGCATCTTACCAATTTAGGAAGACAACAAGTGGGTCGTTGCATTACTTTTCTTATTCTGTAGTTTTTTTTTTAAATTAAAAATTCATGAGGTATATGATGTATGTGTAAGTTTAGTTTGAATGAATGTGAAAGAAGGTCGAAGAATATTGTTTGTTAAGAGCAGTTGATGTTGTGTTGTTGTATCAAATCAATTTTAAGGTTCGTCGTGGTACGCATCGTTTTGATTTGTCGCGTTGTTGCGAATATATTCCTCCTTTATTAGCACCACAACGATCCGATGAAGTGTGGTGGCTCGCAAAATTATTGTATCGGTTATCATGCTTCTTGAATCGAACCGCTGTTATCAAGTGTGTTTTTTTTTTTTCAGTTTTCCATTTCATCATCTCATCCAAAAATTACCAATGATTATATAATTTCTAACGTCGTATTATGCAGCTTATTGAAATTCCTGTGATTGTTACAGCACAAAAAAAAGGAAGTTCTGTCGTTCATTATTTTTTTCATATATAAGATATGAGCATTTTTTAAGGATATCATCGGAACTAATAAAGTCAAATTACGTTGTAATATAATTCAGATATCTTTCGATGAATTACAATGAATGTTCATTGATCGGGATGCTCTCAAGAGCCGTACTCGATCCTGAATATCCACGCGTGGTTGTACCATCGTTCACCAAAACGACGTTCGCAATGAAACCTGCCATGAATCTTCGTCGATTTGCACAATACAAATACTTTTTGCCAGTATGTATATTTGTGTTGCTTGCATTTCTAATGCCTTTTTATGTTACGTTGCCTATGTTGTTTGTGTTCGTAGTTCTGTCATCAGTTTCACAGTTCTAATTCAGTCACTTCTTGTTTTTATTTTTCAAATTTGTTCTGTATGATGAACGCTTGCATCGGCTCCACTCATGATTCTCTGCGAAGTTTCGTGCTGAAGTTTTTTAGTTATATTTGTGAGCGTCTGTTCGGAAATGATGTCTAGAGATGTATTAATTGTATCGCAAAAACTTTCTGAAATCACTTTTATCGACTGAAATTCTTCCACTAACCCGCAAAGAGTGGTATTCTCATTCGCGATACTTTTCTGTTTTAATGTTTCGTTCACAACTGTACCATTGTTTGATGATCTCATTCATGTTATTTTCAAGATTGTTGAACGCAGAAATAATGGAGATATTTCGTCGTTTCATAAATTTGCTCACTGCGTTGATACATTCAATATATCTGGTGCAAATAATTCAGTATATTTTGTTTTTGACCGACCTAACCGATGCGCAAGTATTTCGTTGCTATTGACGGTCATATCATGATAGAAAAATGTTCAATTAGAAAAAAAGAATACTATAAAATCTCTCGCTGTGTGTTTCTAGGAATGGTCAGATTTTTGGAATTACTTCTCATTGATTTTGTCGCTTCGTGATCATCTTTTCATCGAAAAGTTAAGCACTGAATATTATGTAAAATATGATTGTGAAACTCGTTGTTTTATTGTGCCTTTTAAGTGCTTTTATCTCATCGAATTGTTTCCTGAGTGCAATGCGAAGGAATCAATCGATTTCGTATCCTTAATTCGTTGTTTTCAATCAGATACAGATACTAGTTATGTGTGAACAGATGTTATTGCGTAATGATAAAAGTGATCGTTTGCGTCTGAGAAATAAACGTCTCATTATTATGATGTTTATTCGTTAATATTTCCTTTTTTGAGCACTCATTCGTTATTTAAATTTTGATCGAATCGCGAAAACTGATCGCATATTTCATCGCTGAAATTCTATGGCCAAATATGTTGTTTTCGATTTTTTATTTGGAGCGGGGGGGGGGGGGGGGGAAGAGAGATCATTTCCTGATTGATTATTCTTTCGGTTTTGTAGGACGCTTTCTCTTATATCCGTCGTTATAAGTGCCTCATGTGTCAATATTGCTCATCTCGAGACTGATCAGTGTTATTCAGATATGCTCTGAATGTTGAATTTTCGATTTCTCCTTTCAAAGTTCATTTTACTGTTCCAGTTGCTGACAGAGTTTCTGTAGATTAATGCACTTGATATAAACCACAACAGATTACCAACTGAAGATTATTCGCACTTGGGAAATGGATCAACATTTGGATCGTAGTAAGATTGACTCGTTAAGAAAAGCGCACGAAAGCAGTCATGAATGGCGAGTAAGGAAGATGTTCTTGGAGCGTCATTTAGACGATTATCCAATCGCGACACTTCTTTGTCTCGCGCAGACTTTCATCAATATCAATTTCCTCGGTTGCAAGTGAGTTGTATCATTTCGAGATGCACTCTTTCGATTTTTCATGGAAATATCATGAACAAATTTTTAAGGTACAGTGACACTTTGATGGAAAAAGTACGCGAATTGGGTGCGGGAATTTGCGAAAAGGCAAACGTAAGTTCAGTGGTGCATCTCATCCAGAGAAAATTATCTTTAATGATTCAAACCTAAAAGCCTGCAATTTAAGGCAATATTTCAACTATTAGCTTTATCACTTCAATGTTCCATCGATTTTCAAATTTGTCCGTTAAAAAGAAATGCGATTTTTTTTTTAGATCAACTGTGCACAACTTCAATCAATAACCTTTGCAGTTTAGCGTTAAATCCAAAAATATATGCAATTTTTGGGTATTTCTAAACTAGTTGGTAAAAATTCTCAAAATTAAACAGGGTCACCAAAAGAGTTTTGAGAAGGGCTATACGAAAGGTTCTGCTGGTCGAAGAGCAACCGACAGTCCACCGCTGAAGATGCAAAGAATGATTAATGGGGTATCTGAAGCAACAAAAACAAAAGTAACTGTTCATCGAAATCATTATATTTTGATTCAGTCTTTCGACAATTTGCTCAGTATTGTTGATTATCAGCGTTATGAAAAACCCAAGCCAAGTTATTGGTTTATGATTCAGCCTATACATACATACCACTAGTGATCGCATTCGGAAACGTTTTCATGATCGGAATGTGATATTCTGTTGTAGGCAATGATATGAGGACTGTATCGTCGCTTAGCGAGTAAACAGAATTGTATTTCAGAATTTTATGTTGTTGAAAGCTGAAATTCGTGCACTTGAAAATGGACTTGATGCGTTGCAATCATTAAATCAAGCAGTGTCACGTGTCAAAATGATTTGGGAACTGAAGGACGCCAATAGTGATGGGAATATCGTTTTGACTGTTGATGATGTCGTTGTAATTAGGTCGAGATTTCCTGATGGCAAATCTCCGATCACAAAACAGTCTAGTGCCGCAGCAACCTTAGCTGCCATTTCAAGTGTGAGTAGTGTTTATGAGGATGGTTTTTTGTTCGCATTCAAATTGCTCCGTTAATGGCTTCGTTCAAAATTTTATGTAATCTGACCTCATTTAAAGCACTCTTCTATCGCTTTCAGATCACATCCTTTTCACTTAGAACTGATCAATGCTTGACATTCATATGCATATCTGTCAAAGTGGTATTATCCATTAAAGTAATTCATCGCATCGATTCTCAATGTTCTCATTTTTGAGGGTAATGTTGAAATTCGCGATGTCTCGGGAACGTTTGAATTATGGCGTGGTGAGATCGGTCCTGCGGCTTGTTATAGCGACTTTGTAACCAATACATTACGTAAGGCAGCTGCAGTATTGCCTCAACAAGGAAGTGCATATGCAAGGCTTGAGAAGGCTTTTCAGACCGTTAGCACTCCTCTAAAATTTATAGCAGAACAAGGAACCGGGTACAGTTTTACTAATTGATGAATCATTGCGAATAAGAAACGATATGTAATGTATTTGCATTAAAATACATCATCATCAAATGAAATATGTTTCCGTTTTTCAGATGGGAAGAACGTATTGCGTTGAACGTATTGAATGTGCAATTAGCAGACGCAGTGCTCAAAAAGAGTGAGTGCACGAAAGCAAGAGAAGCGAAAAAGAAAGACGAATTGGCTGAGTTGGTTATTTCAATGATATCATCTCCTAGTTTGAAACTGCTTACAACTGCTGACCAGTTCACCATTGGTGTTTGAGTTATATTTCATTCACTGACTGAATACTTGTTTATCAGTTGTTTTCAACATTGATCTGTTTGATTAACAATCGCTCTTCAACTTTTCGAACAGAACAAGTGTTTATCAGAATTCCTTCTCGCAAAGAGTGCTTTCTTGAGTTGTTGCTCGCGTTAATTATTGTTACTATTGTTGCTATGTGTGCATATACAATATGATGATGCACGTCACTTGATTCTCATTGTTGTTTTTTATTTATTTATTGCATGTGCTTCTTGTCTTTCTAAAAAAATATGGCTATTGTGTATGAATGGAAGGAATTTTTGCTTATTCGGCATTTACGATCGAATTAAGTGCTGATTTTGAATGTACTCGTTTACTGCCGTTGCGGTTTGCCTCGTATAGTAATTAATATGAAGACGCTTACGAAACACTTAATCAAATCAAATTTGACTTATGATTGATTCCTTCATGTACATGCGGTCTAATACGACAACTCCATACACTTCGAAGCGGTGAGGTATTCTCAGAGTTTCGTTCCGTATTAAGATCGGTGCTGCCTTTGTTTTCACAAACTGTATCATTCTGTGTTGTGTTCTTGTGCTCGCTGATTGTTCTCAAGATTGTATTTTGTATTTGTCGAATTTTTCATTGACATTTTGAGTTTAAACAATATTGCGGCAGTAGGGTTGCGTCGATAGTCATCGAGACTGACATCGCCCCAGACTCAACTCTACGTGAGAGTAAGAGACAACTGTATGTATAAACAAATATTCACATAATTTTTATTTCNTCTAAAATGGAATAAAAATGAGCGATTCTACTAAAAAAATGTGTAACATTTCGACAAATTGAAGTTGAACAACATAGTCCACAAAACAAGATTAAAATAAAACACTCATGATTGAATTCTTCTGCGGAAGCTCACTAGACAATCATCAATCAAGTGTATGTTATATGAAGAGGTAACATTTATAAAGGTGATTTGAAATATGAAATTTCTAAACTGTCTTCTCTAACGATAGGATGAACTCGAATAATGACAGCAGTGGCGTGGGTTGCTGGACTGTAGAGAAAAAAAGGTATGGTAGCAATCTCTAGTTTAAAATGTTAGTTGTAATAATTATCAGAACAACAACAATACTAATAAGAATGCTAGTACGAGTGTTGTGATAATACAAATTGGCACATATAAGAACTTTTTATGTGGATTTAAGTAATACCTAATGGATTTCTTGTTGCAAATATATTTCCAACAACAGATGTTTTTTGGTTTGTTCAGCAGAATTTGAGTGGACAAACGAAACGACCAGTTTCGAGTGATATCGCTAGAACACAAAATGCGACGTATGATATAATCATTATGACACCGAATAGTTTATTCATTTTCCATTTTGAAATGGCAGTTGCTAAAACCAACACAATCAACATCACAAACAGCATCCCAACACTGCACACCAATCCATTACTGAAACGAAATGCAGTTATGCCCCGAAATCACATGAATTCAGTGTTACACGCTTCCAAAGATCGGCATTTTTTTGCTAGACCTTTGTTGAAAAAGACATTTTTATTATCAGACAATGGGACAAACGATGAACAACGAATTTGTGCTGATATTTATTTCGACATCTGTTTAAGTACCGTTTCAGCGTCGTTTTTGATTCTCTACTTTTGAAATGTTCTGAGAATAGTTATGATGGTAATCAGCTTGACTGATTATGTGCAAAGCAAATAAATATCAATCTTAGCCATTGCTTAACTGCTTGGAATGGCAAGAATCTTGTCTCTTAAACAGTGGTATTTTCAAGCATCTTCAGTCACATTTATCTAGAATTTTAAATGAACACTTTCACTGAGTGGCAAGAAATTGACTTAAATGCTGAAGGAGGCTGAATGCTCAGCTAACATGGTGTACACCAAATCAATATTTTTTCACCAACTTAACATGATTTATTCAATTTTTTTGCAGCAATATCTCCACTATGACAAAATGCGCTTGATTTCAAACAACTGGCTTAGGCTTTATTTCGTATTGCACATTCGAATATTGTGACATTTAGTCATGTGATGGTAGCATAGCACACTTTAAAATTTTGAACAGAGAGAGGCAGCTTCCTAGCTTGCACTCAGGTGAACAAGCATCATCTTTCGATGTATTTCCTTAACATCAAACGATATCATTATTTCTGAATGACAAAGTAGACTCAGTCGTTTACCTGGACACGGAAATATATTCTGGAACAATACCATTATTTCGAATAGGTTCAATCACAAAATACAGCAACCATGGAACAGGCAATCTAAAATACAACAACAACAAATTTAATGGTTCACCAAAAGAGCAATATTAATCGTTTCGTTTGCAATACTTATCATAGCAATGAGTGCGATTGAAAAAGACTGAAGGTCTTACCCAACACAAACATCGAAAATATTGCTACCAACAGAGCTTGACACTGCCATATCACCGAGACCTTTACGAGCGACAATAACACTGAATTAATTTACTTTCATTTCAGTTTGTAATTAGTTCAGTGTAAGTCATCATCGATTGGTATTGCAGAAGAAAATTACTATAAGACAAGAAATATGAGAAGTTCATATTGATTCAATGTAAAATTCACGCGTGATTTTCGATTTTCAACATGAATACGAAATGAATTTGTTTTTGATTTACTGGTGATATCAATATATTACTGATTTACTGGTCATTTAACTTTAAGCTTCGAACTGTAAGCAGTAGAAGGCTTCATTGAAGGTTGTTTACTTGGTTTTGCAAACTTGAAAGCGGTTAATTCTGAATGATGATGGTTATTGGAAAAATTCAGTATGATGGTGTTTTCGATTCGAAACTATACCTGGTTATCAGATCTGGAATGCTTGTTCCAGCAGCTAAAATTGTTAGTCCAATTATCTGAAACAGGCACTTTTCACGGTAAAAGATGTTCAAGAGGAATTGCAGTCATTAAAGTGTTTGATGGAAGCGTCGATAAAGTGTCTTCTAAACAGTGAATTGTTCACCTCAGTTCGAATCGCAGCTGTCTCTCCGATCGTATTAGCCATCCACACCATAATATAGGAATAAAACGCTATCCAAAGAATAGAGCCAATAAAAGTTAACGGAAACCATTTTTTTGAGTTCTGAAATTTAGTTGGTGAAAAAGTCGATGGCAAATCAAATCAATGAAGATAATAATCAATCGCTGAAACGATCACCTCAATTCGAACATCGGGAAGTGTGACCCAGAGCGGAAAGAGAATCGGTGAAAGCAGCAAAAAGATGATCTTTCGATGACACTTTTCTGGCCATGTCATATCCAACGGCTTTTCTTCACCTTCGTCCAGCATCGATTTCTGCATTCATCAGAATCGAATAAAAAATTTCGGTTCCTTTATACAAAAAGAGGCAATGATTGATGTGGGGTTGGAAACGACATCAACTTGTGTTTAGGAGGAAGAAGAATGCCTAAATACTAGGGTCAAGCAAATTAAATTCGCAATAGTCTATAAAGAATAAGACCAAATGCATTACAGCAGCATCCTAAACGTACAATTTCTTCGACAGTGGCCATATTTGGACATATCGATGATCTTCTTTTGACAGATACTCGACGGACAGTAGCAACATTCTGTTGTTTAGCCACCTTATAAGCACTCACATCTTTCTGAATTTTAAGTAAATAAACTTGTTGATCCAGCAAGTTTAATCAAGTAACTATCAATGAGGATTATAAATAACCACACTTAGGATTACCTTCATTGAATTCAAAGTCGATCGTTGATTCTGATCGTCGCTCACCGCTACTGAATCACTTTGCGCATTACCATTCTCATCACCTTCCCAATCTGAAAGTTTCAAAGAAAAACACATTAGCATTCATCCAAAATATGGTCATCCATTCACTCTCAATAACAACTGATCATGATAACCTATTGAGGAACGTTATAAGATTCCTTTCACTTTGAAGCAAGAACACTCGTTATTCACCTTCGAAATCACCTTCTCGAAGTGGATCCAAACCGTGCGACATCAGCTGCATAATACCATTGCGGAACATTGCGCCTGAATGAAGTATCGGAATTGATTGACGTCGTCTGTATGACGCTGATGCACGTGGTCTGCCGTACACCAACGATCCCGATCTTGTATTCGGTTCAAACGTTTCATTCACTCTCGCCGCATCGTTCTTCGCTTCTAACGAAGTTCGCTCAATAATTCCATCAGCGATAACTGCTGCAGTTGCGGTTTTGGATGAAGATACTTTTGATACCTTCAAAATGTAATGCTTTTTACATTTCTTTATCATTTGGGTCTTCGTAATTTTTATTATTTAGAGAATATAAAAATGAACCGAATAATGATCAATTCGAAATTAAATATGTCTGATGCAATAGCGTTTTCCGGGGGGGGGGGGGGAGAGGACGCAAAATGGTTTGGCCCAGAAAAACAGTTGAATTTTGAGGCGAATTTGTCTAGGTTTATTTCTTTCTTCCTTCTCCCTTCTATGCTTTCTTTGCCCACTTCCTTATTCCTTCCCTCTGTTCTCCCCTTTCTTGCGACTTTCAGGAGTCAAGCGCGACACCCCTGCGCCCTCGCACTGATCTGATGATATGCTAACGAGCTGTTCGCACCACGATTGCAACGTTGTGATGTTCATTATGGGCAACCGATGCATATTCACCAATACAGCTCTTAACGAGTTTTTCAATCGCCTCATTATACTTCATGAAAATTGCATATAGAATATATACGATGAATAGACTGAGTGCCTCAAACCAACGAATCTGAAAGCAAATTAGCCATTTCAACTGAAGAGGTGATGAACATGCTGAATTTAGAAACAAATGAGACTTTTAGATGGCGCTATATAATAGATTGAAGTTTTTCAAAAATTCATATCACTTCAGCTGTTCAAAATGCACATGAATTATGGACAGAATTATTGAACAGAGTTCGTTTTTGAGGGAACTGCTGACAAATCATTGATTTTTTATAAATGAAAAAATCAAAAATTCGGTTCTAAAGAGAAGCGATAGCAGAGAAATAAAAAACAGAAAACCTTTTCGTCAAGAAAGAAGATAACCAACATCAGTAATGCAATAATATAAAATGCAACATCTCTGCAATTAACGATATAGACATTAAGAAGGAAGTAAATATAAAGGAATCGGTGCATGATTAAATTCATCAACTTCTTGTGAAACTTATACGTTCATGAGAAACACCCAAAGAGTTTTGTGAACTATTCCAGCTATTAGAATTAACGTGATATGGAGATATGCAAACATTGTAGAACAACGATGAGTTATCCATTGCAAGGATTATTACTTTTCGAAAGGTGAATGTAAAAAAGGTGGTTTTATCATCAACCTGTGAGCGAACTACACGTCAAAACGTGACATATTCAAGTGATCAAGTTCTAATTGATGTGCTAAATCAGCCTGATAGTTGCAATTGCTGCATGGTCGTTATATGAATTCATAGCTTGCGAAGGAGAGGTCGTTATATGAAAACCAATAAACAACTTTTCATGAAATTTTCACACTTTCCATGTGCCACGAAATAATCTGGTTAATGTTACGCATCAATGCACACATTGGCTATGAATATATAGTTGCACTAAGCATTATATCGGAAACGCTTCACAGAAGTTATTGCGTGTCATTACTACTGTTATCGATATATTGTTTCCTCGCAAGCCATGCGATGATTACAGTCAAGAAAGACCAAAATGAGGAAAAAAACCTGAATAAAGGCCACCATGTTAGGTGAAGAACACCATGTGAAAAAATGGTGCAGCACGCGAGAACGCAAAGAATGTTGAAAGTGGCACTGCCTGAGAATAGTGAAACACATTTCAATTACATTATTTTTTTTCGCAGTGATAACATTCAACAGTAACATTCAGTTCACTCAAAAAGCAAATAGCTAATGATGATGACTCGAAAATTGATAGTAAAAATTTTCGAATTACAACTATATTGTATCTATGTATTCCAATGATCTATCACCAACCAACGATTGTTCCAATGCCAACATTGTTTTGTGCGATAAAAACGCCTATCACAGATGTGAAGAATTCCGGCGCAGAACCACCAGCCGCCATAAAAGTCGCACCTTGAATCAAACAAAAATAATCAATGATCACTAAGAATTGAAGTTGCATTCATAAGCTTATATTTTTCAGAGTTCATAATTGATGACGTATGGAATATCAATGTGAGGTCATTTGTTACTCTGATAGAAGTTATTCCGAGATTCGAACGGTACTATTGCGATGTTTGACCGAAAAGTAAAAATCTAGCAATAATTTTTGAATGTACGGAAGAGAACGCTCTCTTGCTCGATTGTTCCTTTTGCTTGCATTCGTTCACGTCGGATACACCACTCACTTCATCTGTCAAATAATCGAGAGAGTTTTTTTGAATGGGAGTGAGAAAAACGGAAAAATTTGAATGACTGATTGAGACATATCAAAGTTCGCTTTGAAAATTTGAAGGCGATTACCATAGAGAATATGTACCGCTTATTTATGAGTGACAAAAATGAACGAATCATTCGAAGGAATTTGTTGATCTAGTAACTGGTGCGTTTACGAATGAAGTTAAATCGATTTGGCGGAATCTCAAGGCAAAACATAAGGCAAATCGGAATCTCCTTCCAACGTATACGGAACGATTCATTTGGAAAAAGGAGTTCTGTGGTGACTAGCGTTTCCATAATTTCTGGAGACAGGTTGCAGAACAATACCCAAACCAACAGACGCCTAGGACAGCACCTTTATAATTCAACTGTCTTCTTCAGAGTCACCCAAAAATTTGAACCAGATGAAGTCTACCTTTCCTTTAGTGTTGTTAATAAGATTTTTTTTGTAGAAACGTATGCTTGATGCCTTACATAAGCAAACGTAAAACGAAATGATACCAGTGTAAAGCAATATTTGAGAAATGCGATGTATTCAATGGAAGCAGATACTGACCCTATGAGAAGAGATTTTGGACACTAAAAATTTTTGCTCTTTCGGCCAAGTATCGCAAGAGTGCCAACAGAAGTTGTAATTGCATGTATCAACGTAAACGAAACAAGTAGTTTTAAAAAGACAGGATTCAATTTGTTGTTTTATTTTCTCTGAAACTGATTCGCTGAAATTAGACAACAGAAAAATCATTTGCGACAGAAAGATTTCTCAAGTGCGAAAAGTTCGACCTGCGACATCATCACTGATGGCCAATTTATCAGTGATAACACCCAGCGAGGGCACAAAAAATTCATCGCACACAATCGCTAATGCAATAAACATGTACCCGAGTCCGATGACATGAAGTATAACTGAAAAATCGAAATCGTTTTATTTTAATTGTTATCATTTATTATATTGTTTTAATTACTATTTTTCATTCCGCTATTCCGTAAGAGAGAGTAACATAAAAGAATAACATAATTCCATTCAATTTTTAGCAATTAGTTACCCAGTGCGCATCCATGCACTGGCGTTTTCGGCAGTTTTGTTTTGCAACAAGTTTGCTTTTTGATTTCATCACGTCGCATTTCAGCGATTTGAGTTGCTCAGAATGATGCATTCTCTGAGCCTCACTGGACAATTTCTCATCTTCCTGATTTGTGCTGTTAATCCAAATATTTTTCATCTCATCCATCTAAATTCTCTGCATTTCTCTTTTGTCATGCAGTGTGTCTTAAAAGGATGTTCCAGTACGCGTTATTTATTTATGGATGAATACGCACGATGCTATTCAATTAAACTCATCATATTTATGTTCTACTTTTGTTTGCTAACGAAAGTAAATAAAAAGGTGACATTTGAAATACCCCTTATTTGCATACATATAGAATTGAATATTTTTATAGTCTTATTGAATGATAACAATTTTGAAATTCGTTGATATTTTTATTCTATTTTGCTGTAAATAATCCAACTTACTTGCACCCTTACGACGTTCCTCCACTGAGAATAGATCGGGCGGAAATTGCCCCGAGTCGTCATCAGCATTCACTATGGACTGCGATCTGTTGCTGCAATTGGATCATCAAGCACTAGTGATGGTAACCGACTGCAGTTCGATCGGTAAAATCCGATGAATTTCGATCGGAATTCCGAGATTTGGATTTTGATCGAGGAATTTCGAAGTTCGTTCGGGATATCGAATTTCGGAATGTTGAAAGGTTGATCCGATCGGATTAAATTAGGAAATTTTGTTCGGATGCCATCGTTGTATAGCATTAAGAAGCATCCGTACTGATAAAGTATTGTTTGGTGAAAATCACCATCCAGAATGGTCGTTTTTCACAACGGTTTCGCACAGCAAAAATGAACAATATTCGCGAATAACAACTCATATTGAGCGCGGGGTCAAGCCCCAGCCTGAGTCTACCAGTATTTTATTCGTTTTAAGCAGGATGATTTTATCGACCGTCGAGAATGTGCGAAAACCAATCAGTTTTCTAGTGATCCATTTCGAAGATTCCAAAAAATATTACTGAACGTTAATTGACGAATTCCATAATCATATTACATTCATATGAATCATAAAGAAAAATTTACTCTTTACAATCGGGCAAAATTGACATGAGTCGTCGTTTTTTGAAGGTGTTGATATCGTCGAATGACTCTGACCGTATAATGTGTGATAGTGAGAATATGAATAGAGCTAATGAGCACAGCACAATACGTCGAACTAGCGTACCTCGATGAAAAGCACTCATTGTTTTATCTGTAAATGATCGCGTTATTCAGAAATAATCACAACAATAATCATAACTAGCATCTAAAAAACCGAATTTATAATTTACTCACAATCAGAAAAGTGCTTGTAAAAAGTCAACTGACAACAGTAGAACAACGCGGCTGCTCTTTTCAAAGTTCCATCAGTTTGAGGTTTAAATTATATTTATGTTTTATGAAACCGATTTCAATTTTATGATAGCATAAATGCAGTTACAAGAAGCGTTTTCAACTGCTCTAGATTAGTGCCGAAATCTATGTATCAAAACCGACTTATGCGTTTATTTGTGTGAAGGATTGGTTCTTCATTCATGTGAATGTTTCACCTTTCAGTGCGCACTATATAGCAGCGAATAAAAAATGATGGAATACGCTCTAATGAACACATTCTTGAGTTTTCTAAATCGAGCTATTTGTTTCGAATGAACTATTTGATAGCCGTCATTTCCTTATGGCACGCAAGTACGAATATGCAATTAAGTAATGAAGCTCAACGCTGACCAGCATTCGTCATCAAGGAATTGAAATGAAAAATTCTTAATCTTTTTCATGGTGCCTTGACGAAGTCATCTATCAAATAAGCTTCAAAGCAACAACTGAAAATTGATGACACCACAATATAACTGATTCTATCAAAAACTGGTGATAGGAACACAAAAAACAATGAGAAATATATGTACCAGCAACCGTGTATTAACTTACAATGATGTTAGTTCGACTTGATGATGCGATGAATAATTATCATTTCAATAATTGATTCTGATAAAACATTGGCAATTATTCGTCAACAGCTTCCAACTTTTCTGTTTTTTCCACAAATTAACAATGATCATTGACAATAATCAGTTTCTTACGTAATTTCAGACGGATACTATAATTCATTAATTATGATTTCCTTGCATCGGCTCAATCAGTCAACTGACACTAAACAACAAAACTCATTTACATACGGGTAAAATAAAAAATAGCGCTGAAGCGAACAGCACGTGAAGTTTTGGCAATATTGATCACACAAATGAAGGTATTAGAAGATGACATGAAGCGTGAATGAGTTGATCAGCACGAGCTGTATACGAGTAGTTTCAGTACCATGCTAAGTGAACTGTCTTTAAAAAAAGATTCTTGTAAAAATGACTATCAAAACTGAGAAAGAAAGTAAAAAGTCCAATAGAATAACAAAATAATCCTTCTGAAATGCAGTGTTTCTATGGAATAAACCCTGTAAACTCTGTTTGAATTTGGAAGTGCTCGCATTCGCTCAGTGTTTTTCTGCTATCAACGTAATTCTTCCTATCAAAACACTGACACTCTTTCACGACTCACTTGAGCCGATATCAGCACATCTATAATCCTTCGTATATAAGCTATCGTTCTTCTTTATCTCTTACCGTATCACTTTTTTGAATATAATTTCTTAAAATGACAATCGCTCATACATCAATTTTTTCTACGAATCATTTGAAAAATTCATTTCAATTCAGATAAACTTTCTTCATGAATCTATTGACGCTTTGTTTCAAAAAGAATTCAGTGTAATTCAAGTTATTAATTACTAATTAAATATATGTTGAAGGAGTTAACTGAATAGGTTTGTTTGTTAATTAATATGAAATTGTATCACTGATTAACATGGTTGAGGAAACAGAGAAACAAAACGTTTTACTGATCAGTGTGATACTTTTGCCCTTTATTTCGCACTAATTCGGGACTATCATCGTCATTTTCACATATTTGTAGCTCAATTTGTTTTGAAAACTGCTTCTCGTAAGAATTTTATTCAGACGAGTGTATGCAAATATGACAAATATATATATAGATATGATGCTTCACAACATATCTATGCATGTGTATGTATTGCACATGTATGTGATTAAAGAGTATTTATTGTTTGAGTGAACAACATTAAACAAGCGACGACGCGTCACTTAGCGCAATGTTTTGCTTCGCACCTCACAGACTTGGCGAGATCGATCCATTCACTTATCCACTTCAACGCTTTCATGAGACTAGTTATGCAACAAAGCAATTTGATGAATATTCTCTTAATGAAGTATTAGTTTCAGCTGAATTCTTAACGAAGTATTAGTTTATGAATTAACACCTTAACGTTTATAGTTTAGAATATTCAATACAAATTATACACATCGAGCATTTTCAGAAGCAAATTTTATTCCAGTGAAATTATTGTATCATTCTTCTGTATTGACACTCATATAGCATCCTCTAAATTCTTCTCGTTAGCTGTAACAAAATAACCTCAGCCGATAAAGTGCGCATCTCATTACTCAGCAGCACATTAGTTTTAAATTCAGATTCAGCAACTATGCAATGAGAGAGATCTCCGACTGGTGAGATTCCTCTGCTCTTCAACTATTTTCCCTTATTATGCGATCACAGAATCCTACTGGAATTTCTGAATTATCGATAAATGGTACATCATAGCTGGCAAATGTTACCACCAAAAGAAGCATCAACGATTCATTACATTTTCAACCGAAAACGTATTGTTTTCTTAAGCTTGGGTTAATCAAAAATCATTCATGAAGTTGTATTTTTGGAACGTGTTTGTTGCGGCGAGATGAATGGCTGACGTTTGCGAACGATAGCGTGTAAAGAGGAAACTAACTAGTGAGCAATTATATCTTAATAGTGATAGCATCCGACCAACTTCAGTCGGAAAAATCCGACAAATTTCGGTCGGAATTCCGACATTCGGATTCCGACCGGACAGTTTTGAAGTTCGATCAGAATTCCGAATGTCGAAAGGTTGTTAAAGTTGATTCGGTCGGATTACTACCGAACTGAAATTTCGTTCGGATGCCATCGCTGTATCTTAAAGAAAAGATATTCTAAAGTGAGAAACGAACACCGTTGCCGAGCAAACATAAATATTGCCAATTTTCTAATAGATTGAAGCAGCAAATAATGTTTTGTACTTACTCGATGATAATAATTGAGAATTTTTCTCTTGTTTCTATCTTCTTGAATATTTTCGTTGCTCTTATACTTGAAAATGATAACACATTGATGTTGCTTGCTTAAAAATTAATGGGACTAAAACGATTTACTTGTAAATAAACAAGCCTCAGAGGTGCTGATCGTGTCTGTAAGAGTTCAGCGAGTATTATCGATCTAAGCATTTTCGTTGCTTTTGAATGTTCCTTTTTGTCACCTTTTGCGCTAATCGTTCTTTATGAAACGAGAAACAAACGTTTTCGTGCTGTTTTCTTCTTCTTTTTAAGTTATCTCATCCAATGTAAACATCTGGAAATGAAACGATAACTGATGAGTGTTGGAGAAGGATTATAGTTGCAAAATGAAAACAACTGTGCACAATAAATCTTTGGTTGTGATCAGTCCTTGATTAATTACTGAACGCTTCTCATCGGGTTGTTCATTCATTTGCAATTTTCTTGGAACAAATCCCATTTTGCATAAATAATCTGCTTTGCATTTGGCTAACTCATGTTTAATGCCAAACAGTATCACGTCGACTTCAACTTGAATTTCAATTCCAACGGGAAACTGATATGCAATGGATTATATCTGCTCATCTCTTTAGTTTCAACATTTGCAGTTGTATTAGTCTCATATACGGTAATTCATCAATTTTTTGAGCAATGCAACGCCTAAATCTCTAACAGCTATTCTCATGGGTCTTTTATATTCTTGTCAAGTTTCAACCAACACATTGTACTTTAGCAATAAGACAAGCATAGTAATTCATGGAATTGAGTTAATTTCTACGAGAACATAATTCAATGAACTTATGGATTGTTGAGATACAGGTACATTCGTTTCACTGACGCGCGATGCTCATGAAAAAAGGACTGAACGAAAGCTTTAAGAGATGAGACGCATAATATAAGCATAATTCGTGAAAAGAAAAACCATCAGAATGAAAAAAAAATGTCTGTAAAAGAAAATGCAGATAATACCTTCCGTTTAGACTCATCGATAATTGTTCCGGAGAAATGAAATGTTCTTTGGTGATATAGAAGATTGAAGACTGAATTCAGAAGATGAGAACGGAAAAGATCAGAAATATGAATGACGAGAGATTGGCACATAAGTTCTTTCTGGCCCACATAGTTGTCAGTAATAGCTGAATGACACTCAAAACCTCCTGAGGGGACAGTTGGTTGCCGAACCGCCCACAAGCACTCAATAAACAAACTGCTTATGCTCATGCTTTGGCCATGCAGCCAGGCAGCAGCCACTCTTCAGGCAAACAAAAACTGGGCTTACGCCCTTTTCGCATATTTTATCCTTACTTTA